ATTTGCTTACCCAAGACTGTTTAATTTCAGGTTGTAATTCTAATATTCCTCTTTTCTGCCTCTCAGAGTGGAATGCGAATTTTATGTCCTATGGTAATTATTACTCATCTGGATAGATACTATCACTCCTCTTAATTTGTAAAAACAATTTAGAATCATCCTGTATATATGAAATACACTCACTTTCAAAAGTTAAGCAGGGAGAGGAAAATGCAAATTTCCGGAAGACAATCAGAATTGAAGAGGATGCAATTAGCTGCAGAGGTAGATGGAAGTATGTAAATATGTTAGGTAGCGCTTTCATGTTAAGAAATAAGCAAAAAAGGCAGTCTTATAAGAAGCCAGCTTTATGAAGGGTTACAGAAATTGATTGTAAGTACTGACAGAAGGTGTTTAAAACTTTTGTACAATTTGTTTGCAAGACATACGTTTTCCTATGACTTCCAGAAGACGAATGGAAGATTCTGAGGACTGGCATGCTGTGGGGTGCATTGAAGCAGGACAGTCGATCACAGATGTTGCTCTTTTCTACGGCGTTTATCATTCTGTAATTTCCCGTGTATGGAAACAATTCCAAACCACACAGACAGTTGCCCTAGCCAGTCGCCCAAGGGTTACAACCCCAGCGGAAGATCGATATATTGCTTTGTAGACAAGCGGAATCGCAGAGCGACCACCACAAATGTGACATCTATGGTTACAGTGTCCATTGGTAAGGCGATATCTGCAGCTACTGTATGCCGAAGATTACATATGAGTGGACTGTACACCTGGGTACCTCGAGTTTGTCTTCCTCTATCCGTCCAATCAAGAGGGGCACAATTACAGTGGTGCTCGGAACATGTCAACTGGAATGTGTCTGACTGGGGCAATGTCATGTTTACTGATGAGTCAAGATTTTCTCTGGAGCCAGATGACCAGCATATAAGGATATGGTGTGAACAACAAACATGCAATCAGTCCCAAAACATTACCGAACATTCACACATTCGAGGCGGAAGCATTATGGTGTGAACAGGCAGATTTATTTCATTAGGATACCAGCACCGACCTGCAACATCCTTTAACACGAGGGTTCTTTGACGGCTGTCTGGTATCGAGATGAAGTCCTAGAAACCCATTGTGAGATTGTAAGCTGCAGCAGTTGGCCCTACTTTTGTTTAATGGACTGATAATGCACACGTCCCTTATAGAGCTGACATTGTCGATGACTACCTGGAGAGTGAAAGGGATAGCGCGTATGACGTGGCCAGCATATTCGACCAGCATTATTCGCCCATTGAAAATTTTGGGATCCCACTCGAAAATGCTTGTGGAATCATTTCACATTTCCCATCTCCAACCACTCTTATTAAGCTGCAAACTGCTCTACAAGAAGAATGGCGATTGCTTAATTCTGCGGTGGTTGACCACCTAATTGAAAGCATGGTCACACGGTGTAAACTTTGTATACAGATGAGGGGGATCACATACCCTATTAATGTTTTTTTTTTTCCATTTTATGCTGTTTATTTTCACTTTATACATAATTCTGTTTAAGTCTCCATTATGTCATTATCTGATAACTTACAAAAATTTAATATTGTTTTCATTCCTGTATATAATTATTTATTTTGTTTTATGCATAAATATATGTGCTACTTTCCAGCCGAATTTTGTGTCAATCAAAGCAGTATTTGTTGATTTTTTTGCATTTTACATCTTCGTGCTTAACTTTTGGAAGTGAGTGTGTAAGTCGCGAAAAGTTTTGAAGTGCTCTTTTTCTTTTATGTATTATTAAACAGATTAATAATATTAGTATGCATTTTTTGGGGTTATTAATAACATATATCTACTTAAAATTGCGAATTAAACTATAATTATGAGATGATTTTATTGATTATATCTTACCATATGGGCTCGGCTTATGGCGAACGAGTTGACTGCATAGGATTTCTTCATAGCGTCGGTAAAATTGAGGAATATGATACAGGATATTAGGACGGTATACTAACTTAGGTTTCAATATTAATCAAGAATAATTAATTACTGCTCTAATTTTATTTTTAACTGTATAAATACAGAATAAAAATTTCTTTTCATGAGGTTTCCTACTTGAAATGGCTTCAACATTTCAGTATTCGTATTCGGGGGGGGGGGAGGCCTAAAAAGTTAATTGTATGCCTAACTAATTATGGCAAAGTACGTAAAGATTATTTGCTTTGGTAGGATACCGTCATCGAGAACTTCGTAAGGAAAATGGCTATTATTATTATTTACGTGTTCTGCCCTAAGACACTATACGGAAGGGAGGAATGCCTTGTGGAGGACCTTCTGAGAGAAACTGGCTTGTATACACATACACACGGCAAAAACCATGAAAACGTCCATGCAGCCAGCCAATACGCGGGATTCGAACCTTCGACCGAACTGCCAGCGTTCAGAAACTTTACCGCTCCGCCCCTGATGGGCCTAAGGAAAATGGCTAGCATTCATATTTCACATGAGAAAAAACCATGAAAATCCCATGCAGTCAATTCGTTCGCCACAAGCCGAACCCATATAGCAGTGGTAGCTCATATAGCAATCAAAGCAGTATTTGTTAATTTTTCTTGCATTTTGCATCTTCGTGCTAAACTTTTGGAAGTGAATGTACATATAGCATCATTAGAGAACACAGAACAGTTACAATCGAAATCTGATTGTCAACCTAGGCATTATTTATAAAAGTTCAAACTAAACTAGCTGTTTCTTCCTCACAAAGAAATGGATATCTGGTATTTGGCAAGAGACTAATCAATACTTTCTTCCTCATACATTCATCTGAATCATTTACACGTCAGCTATTCATCTGAAGGATAGAAAAAGTATATATCCATATTCTTGAAATCAGCACAAAAGGGTTAGACATACCTAAATTTGAGAGCTTCAGTCATTTAAAAAGAATTTTATAGCTTAAGAAATTGATTATTAATTAAATATGGCATATTAGCTTCTTTACTTGAACAAGCATCTACATTTCATGATTTATCCGATTTCTCATTTCTGAGCAACATGAAATCATTTCATTCTAAAACATGGAGAAATATATTTTTTAAGTATTCCCAATTATTCAATTCCAATTTTTTTTTAAAAGGTTTTTAAAAAAGTTTCTGAATGAAAAAACAGTTTAAGGCATTCAGAAAAACACAAAATATATCATTTCTAAAAAGTATGCCGCCAGAAGAAAAAAGAAAAATTTTAGGATTAGGACAATTATTTAAAAATGAATGAAATTTAGAGCAGTTAAATGACCTTTGAGTTTTCCAAAACAATTGGTTAAAACCAAATTTTTATTAATATTTTGTTCTATCATGTATTCAGCTCCACATAAAATGTTGTAAAACTAATATAGTTAAGTAACTTGAAAAAGTTTTTACCTGCAATAACTTTCCTCATTAACCACCCTCCCCCCCCCCCGAAAAAAAAACAGAGACGTCGTCATTTTGTACATGAAAATTAAATAGTCAAATAGATAATATGTGCATTAATAACTTTGAAATAAGTAACTGTCATATTCAAGTGATGAAATATAGGACTTAATTAATAATCATTTTGAAAACTTAAATGTAATATATATATCATACATAATTACATAAAGAGTATCGCAGTTAAATTTTATATATGCAACACATGTTACAATTTAGATTAAACAGTCAAAAGTCATTAATCCGGACTTGTCGGGACTTCGGCGATTCCGGATTATAGATCATCAATTTAAATCTGGTAAGATGGCATGCAGAAATTATAAAATTAAAAATATGAAACCGTAATTTATGAAATGAAGAACAATTATGATCTAAAGAGTATCAAAATTTACAAAACAAAAAAAAAAAAAAAAAAAAAAAAAAAAGCTTAATATTTATTTGCTTACTTTATTAAACATTTCTTTCAATGTAAGTTGTTTAAGTTGCTTCGTTTTTATGTGATAATACATTCTCTTTAATTCTATAAACAGACATAATTTTTTGTTCAGTTACAAAGTTTCGCTGTTCAAGTCCTATAATTGCTGTGTCTACCGACTACTTTGTCAATTGAATTTTTTTCGTTTTTAGTAACCTCTGTCACTTTCTTCGCTATCAGAAGCGAATTATAATGACGAGGAATTTGATTTAAATCATATCAAAGACGGAGTACATCGAGATGAAATACTACATTTAGTAAGGAATCATAAACCAAATAAAATAAAAACATCTGCCCTGAAGATAAGGATAGTGCTGACTGTTCAACTTCCAATTCATGGCAAGCCGCGACGTCCCCCCCCCCCCGCAGAGCAGCGCGAAATTGATAAACAGATTTCAGAATGGTTAGAGATATGCCTTTATCCATTTTTTGTAGCAATTCCACTTTCTGTTTAATGGACTTCGAAACATACTTTCGCTTTGTAGATCCTTTACATATTAGTAAATATATATCAGAAATTCTATTTGACATAATCGAAAGTTCAAGCTTACTTTTATAAAATTGCTCTAACAGTCTGCCAAAAAATAATAAGCCGGATCCAATTCGAAGATTAAGGAACAACACAATCTGCAACATTAACTGAATTAGATAATTTTAGCTTAGCTTATACTGTCCGTTATACATTAAACGCGCACGCGTAAACGTATTATGCGCATGCGCACATGCATATTCGCAGCTGTAAATGTCTTACGCGCATGCGTCAACGTGACGCACGCACAGAAAGTTTGTAGCTTTGAGGTCCGGATTATAGATCATTCCGGATTATGTGTGTCCGAATTAACGACTTTTGACTGTATGCACAGAATATAATGAAAATAAATTTGCTTTTGTGCATCCTTATAGTTTCACTACTTTTTTAACACAGGAAGAAAGATCTCAGTATTAGTTAAAAAAGTAAACTCGAGGTTACAGACACTATTTTTCACAATATTCTGGGTTCCTTTCAAAAAAGTGCTATAAATTAAAAAAAATTTTCTTTATAAAAAAGCACATAAAAATGCAAAAATTAAGCATAATACCTTAGTGAATATACATAGTGGTAGGCCACATTCATCCGATTCAATATCTATGACATTTACTAAATTTTTCGGAGAGTCTGCAGAATCACTCTTTTGGCTCTGAGAATTTGATGCACTCCAACGTCTCACTTCAGAACTATCATCAGTCCGCACTGATGTAGCAGATGGCAATACAGATGATTTGCTTCCACGAAGTGAAGAAACTATGGTTGAAATTCCATCATTAATGGCAGGAATAACACTCCCAATCAACTGTGTTTCCTGTTTTGAATAATTTGAGTCATCCTGAAATTCGAGTGAAGAGTTATCCAACTTGGTTTTGTCATCCCCTTCAAGTAATTCATTGATGGCATGAATCAATTTATCCTCATCATTAACTTTAGTTTCGGTACCTGTAGACGAAGTGATGCTAGTGGCACTAGAACCAATATCAGGTGTAATATGATTGACTTTAACCCAACTGTCAGCTTCAGTATCACTACTGTTTTGACTGGAACCTTTGCTAGAGGTTTCAGAGTCTACAAAGCCTAATTTTTTTGTTGTTAATGACTTAGGTCTAGGAATATTACATTTTAATTCATTAAGATTTTCAGATTTCTCATGTACCTCTTTTTCTTCAGGTATGCTATGTGATATCACAGTTACAGAAGCATTGTTATTGCAATTTGCATCACCACGAATGCTATATGAATCAGATTCGTGCTTAATATTTGAAGAATTCGAACATTGGCTATCTAAATCATTAGCATTACATGTATCATTATTATTGTCCTTATATGATATTTCCATGTAATCATCCTTATCATTGACAGTTAATATAGGAGTGTTTCGAGATGATAATGATGTAGCGGCTTCACTAAGACCTTTCTCAATCATTCCTAGACATTAACAATAAACAAAAGAAGTTAAATATCCCTTTATTTATACCACATAAAAAGAAAATTAAGAACATCAATGCATCATGAATAAATAATGAAAAATTAAAAGATACTAAACGATCAAATTAGAAAAAATTGTATTGATTTTTTTTTTTTTTTTCTTTTCTTTTCTTTACAGTAATAACTTATTTTACACCACTAAAAATCTAAATTGTGGTTTAAAAAACATACAATTTGCTCATGAATGTAGGAATAAAAACAAATCATTCGAAAAAAAGAACTTTCTTCAATTCCAGAAATTAACTGATGAAAAAGAGATTTTCCCATTATTACAACTTATGCGGAAACAAGTGATAAAAAATTGAAGATTTCAAATACTGTTCTTTACAGTAGTACTTATAAACTATAGTCTGCTGACCCCTTGGGGTTGATGAGATTTTGCAAACTCAAATTTTATTAGCCCAAAGGGCATTAGGCCAGAAGGGCTATTAATTTCGTTTTAACAATTTGCATTGAAAACTGTAAATGTTGGTTCACTTTTCAAATTGTTGCCACCAAATATTATTGCACTGTGTTACATTTAAAGTAATTAAATAATGAAAAATCTGCTTAAATGTATGTATGTTTCTTGCATTGTGGTAAAAGAACAGTACCTACAGCCAACAAATTTTAAATAACATAATCTTTTACCGAATATGGGCATCTGGAAGCCTTAATTTGGAATTTGTTTTACGATTGGTTTCATAACTTTAACGAATTTTTGATTAATAAACTCAATGATTTCAAAGTGAGCAGTGCCAACACTAAACGGGAAAAAAAAATTTCATCTCCAGTACGCGAGATTGTCTATCAGAAATTCTAAAGATGCTGCTTTTAAATAATTTGTGATGTGGCTGTTGAATTGAATTTTTAACTGCTGGTTAAAGTGCAAAGAACATTTAATAAATAGAGGTAACACACAAAAGGCTAAAAAAAAGTCCCTTTGGGCATGATGTAAAATCTGAATGCTTTCAGTTTTTTTAAAAATTATTATTTGATTTCATTTTGAAAAATGGAATAAAAATAATTATTGTTGTTAATCATTAGGGGGTCCAGCAAAATGTGTATCATAAAAAAGGGCTTTAACTGTCAAAAAGCTGAAAAATTGCTACTCTAGACTTAAAAAATTCTCAGCGGGAAAAAATTCACAACCATACACCATTCTTTGGATAGAGAGCACTTTTTTTACCTTTAATACGTAAACATTTTACCAACAATACCGATATCTTTCAGAAATTTTCAAAAACTGTTACAAGAATGTTCCATTTTCAGATGAAAAACTAAAAATATTTATTTATTAACACTAGAACAGCGGGCAAATCTTACTTATTGGAACGGCGGTAAGGGGTCATTTTAATGAAAGTACTGAAAGAACCACGGTAAAACAATTTTAAATGCCATACATTGGAACAAATGTGTACTTTATATGTATTTCATAATTTATATTTAATATATCATGATAATTTATTGATTTTTAAAATACTGTAAATGTAGAGTATATGGCGATCAATTGGATCATATTACAATTACTCAAATAATTCATTAATTTGATATAAGAGTTGATTTCAAATAAATAGTTTCACAAATTAAAACTAATGTAACTAAAATAAAACACAATTTATATAATAATATGTTTTATGTATGTAATGCTCGTAACCCAAGAAGGAGTAGGAAAAGCCTAGCCAGCGGAATAATTAGTCCGACGGAGCAGGTGGTTTGTTGAACAGAAGGAGTAATAATAATTTAAAAAAAAGGAGAAAAGAGGAACAAGAAGACAAGGGGGCGAAGAGAACTTTGCACCTTGGTTGTCGGACGGGATGGTCCGATATTTCTTGGCGGAAGGACAGTAGCCATTTCTTTTGTTATGCAGAGATTGTTTTTCTCATCCGGCGGAGACAATGCCAGACTTACCTATTCATGCTTGTACCTATAATGTATAATAATCAAGAACTATTTACTTATTAAAGTTTATTGTTAAACAAACAAAAAAAATGAGTGTCATCTATGCGTCGATCAACAGTAACATGTGTGAAGTAAATGAACCCCACGCTATGGTATAATATGATGATTCTTATCTGTCTCTGCATGACTACAACAGTCAACTACAATGTACTTACTGGGAGAATGATTCACTCTCTAAATCTAGAAACTAGAAATGTTCTCTGATGTTCAGTTATATCATCATATGTATAGCTGAAAGGAATATGCAAAACATTTAGTTTCAATTCTATTTAATATTTAAAATAGTAGAGAATACACATACGTATTAAGGGTTAATACAGTTGATATAAAATAATTTTTAACAATTTTTCCAGTGCATTTTCCACACACAACTTTGGAACAAGATGCACAATATTCTTGAGATTTGCTTCCATCGCATCTCTGTACTTGACACTTTTTTCTCTTTATATGCATTTTATTTTCTTTCCTTTTTTTTTTTTTTTCCCCCCTGAAGACTCAGGATGGATTTTTGGGAGTTTTGAAGCCATATGTACCACTCTTAACTCATAATTCCTAATTTCAGTAGAAAATCTCTCCTGTTACACTTTTATAAATTATTCATGTGTTCAAAGCTGCGTAATCCAAAATATTGAAAAAGATACATACAGTCCATCGTATACTAACATAACCATACATGGCCATTAACTGAATATTTTTGGCACATCTCATGACAAATATCCACACCATACTTTGTTGCGTTGTAAAATGCTGTTGAATCTGGCAACTTCCTGAGACAGTTTCCAGTTTTTACAATAGAAAGTAATAAGCTCAGTATAAAAACGCTTTTATTTCTTTTGCCTTGATAGATGGTAAGTGTGATATTATCATGTTCCATTATTGTCAATGAATAAAGATTACTACGCATATTTTTTAAAGATATAGGAATTTGTCTTCTGTTCTTTTTCATTGTGCCAACTATAGTTGTATTTTTTTAAATTTTAGTATTTCTGCTAATTTAAAACTAGTAAAATAGTTATCCGTGGTAATATTCCTCCTTTGTTTAAATGTGTGTTTAGACAAATGTAATTGAGGATTTGATGTTTCATCTTTTCCTAGATAAGGAAATCCATTCCAGAGGTATTTAGTATCAACGTCGACAGATAACGAAAATTTTATTCAAAATTTGTCAGGTTTATTAGGCATATATTGTATAAATCTACACCTTTAGATGGGAATAATTGTTCATCAACTGTAATATTTTGTCCTGGCCAGTAGCACATTTTGCAGTTTTCAATAAATTTGCTCCTCATGTCTGATGCAAGAGCAAATTTATCAGTCTGTAATCTAGTAGATCTGTTTTCTTTTCATTGAACCTTAAAAATCGTTTTATTTGTTGAATCTATCTCTTTATATAGTTTCTTTGCAAAATGGTATTCCCCGTGCTTCGGACCACAAGGAATATAAATCTAAACCCTTTGATCCTATTACTCCTCGAACATACAATATAGCAACAAAAGCATCTAACTCAGCCAGAGATAACGTCCAGTCTTTATTTCCAAGTTGCCGATGAGCTTCGGATTAAGTACATTTCTTTATATGCAGCAAGATATCATCATCAATAAGAAGCTTGAAACCACTAGACACTTTGTCCTCAGAAACACGACTCTTTGCAAAAGATGTTGGTCCTGCTGGCTTCTTTTAAAACATTATAAGAAGGAACACGGCAGCAGACTGAATTTTTGGAATTTATTTCATTCCATATAGTGTTATCAGGAGCTGTAAAAACAGTTTTGCAAATACCCTGCTCTGTTTTTGCCCGTTTATTTCTGCTGAGTTTGTCTTGATTTACTTCGCTGTCCTCAGATTCACTAACAGTTTGTGTCTGGAATTCCTCTTCAGTTTCTACAGAAAAATTATCAATTTCACCTCCGTCAGACTCATTTTCCGATAGCTCCTGCAACAATTTTTTAATTTCTTCATCTATAAGATCTCTTTTCCACTTATTAGATACATTTTGTAAAAGTAGAAAAATATCAGACTGTGAGAAAATGATAGGGAATATATTTTAGGATATGATTCTCACAGCATAAAGGAAAGGTGATAATGAACTTGACAGCAAATTCATATGTACTGAAATACTGATTTGGGATTACCAAAAAAACATGTCCTAACTGTTACCACCTGCAGTAAGTAAGCTGAACTAACAAACGGAAAATACATCTGTAAAATAAACTATTTCTGAAAAGAAATGTAAGCATGAAAAACCCTGCATCTACCTTCCTTGCAGTATTTTCTTCATACGAATAGATAATTGCAAACAAGGGAACAACTTATTAGACATTACAAAGTAGTGAGACCATCCAGGTTTTTATCCCTCTGGGAGATAGCATGAATGTAATTGAAAAATCCTTATCAGTGAATGTTCTTGACAATGCCTCGAGCAGAAAGAGGGATAAAAGTAAAGGAGTCAGAATGACCCCCATCTGCCGTTCTAGGAATATATGCCAATATTTCAAAAACTAACAAACTTAACATGCTGAAATTTTTTTTTACAAATATTTGTTATCTATTTAGGAAAAATTAAAAAATTCCAAACGATTTCTTCCAATAAAACAAAAGTAATCAATGGTCAAAATGACCCCTACCGCCGTTCTAGTGTTAAAGAATATATTTAAAATTAAAATATTACTGTGACTGTAATACCAGTAACAAAAACTTTTAACTTTTTCCCTCTAAATTCATACTTTAATTTAAATAACAACAACCTGAAAATTGATACGCCGTTTACAGTGATTAAATGTGAAATACCCTTTTGAGATTAATAACCCATTTAGACTAAAAACACATACATAATACAAAAATTTCAATAATTATCCACTAAAATGAAACATCACATAGTCTCACTCGGAAGTAGGACATTTCCAAGAAGTGGTCACATAGTGTTTAAATAAAGGATAAAAAACTTCCCTTTTATTTAAAATATAATTCTTCATATTTCAAGAAAAAAATTTAGAAAATCA